CTATCTAAATAATTAGGGAGCCCGGCATGATGGCTCATGCCTATATTCCAGCAGTTTGGGAGGTCAAGGCAGGAGGACCCATTGAGCCCACAAGTTGCGGGCAGTAGTAGTAAGCTATGATCGTGGCACTGCACTCCAGAGCCTGGGAAACAAAGGAGGACTCTGTATCTATAAATAAATAACCCATTTATTTTGCAACTGTGCTTACTCATATCAATTCACCTCTTTCCAGTCAGCAAGCCTATATATATATATATATAATATGTGTATATATATATATAATGTGTGTATATATATATATATACAATGTGTGTATATATATATATATATACACACACACAAATCAGTTCACTTCTACTCTAGTCTCTTGAGCTATTTTCAAAATCTTCTTTTTATTTATTTATTTTTTTTGAGACGTAATCTCACTCTGTTGCCCAGGCTGGAGTGCAGTGGCGTAATCTTGGCTCACTGCAACTTCCACCTCCTGGGTTCAGCTGACTCTCCTGCCTCAGCCTCCTGAGTAGCTGGGATTACAAACATGTGCCACACCATGCTCGGCTAATTTCGGTATTTTTAGGGTCTGGCCATGCTGGTCTCAAACTCCTGACCTCGTCATCCACCCACCGTGGCATCCCAAAGTGCTGGGATTACAGGCATGAGCCACTGCGCCCAGCCTATTTCCAAATTCTACACTTTTTATTAATAGCAATACTCCAAACACACTGTCAAAATTCTTCTAACCAGTTAGTCAACAATCTACTGCCTAACAACAATAGTTTCATTAGCTACTAGTGAATTAGGAGTTAATGTTTTAAATGAGAATATTCTCATTAAGATATCCGTATTCTATTATGAGTCTAAGTCTCATTGTCTAATACAGAAAATATTAGTAATAAGATAATTAAGTTATTCAATAAAGAGCAAACCATCAAATATTTTACATCTAAGAGCAAGGACTCTAAAGCAAGCCAGTAAGTTTGAAACATCTCAAGTCAGTTCCTACCTCAGTTGATAAAGGACACCCATAATACCAATGAGAAGGAAGAGCCCAATAATTCAAATGTTTATTACTTGATACACAACAACTGCAGAATAACCAATGTCTTACACAAACACAGAAATTTCATGGTACTGCTCCTCCATCAGTAAAATGAGAAGCATGAAGTTACTCTCTAGAGTCCATTTAATGGAAAAATTAAGTGGTTTAATCCTGTCTAACACTTTGATGCCTGACTTCCCTTTACCAATATCGAAGGGAATTGTTTTGTTTTTTAATGGAGTGGATGTGGTGAGGTGTGTAGAATGTGTGCATTTTTTTCCTATTCTCTTCCTCTGATCCTTCAAGCTTCATTAATAAACTTCAGAATAGACTAATCTCAGTCTTTAACCACTGCTGATCACTATGATTCCACCATCCATCCTCCATCGAGACAGGATCTTGCTCTGTCCCTTAGACTGGAATGCAGTGGCACTCACTGCAGGCCTCTAATTCCTGAACTCAAGTGATCCTCCCACCTCGGCTTCCCAAAGGCACCAGCCACCACACATGCGGCCACCATGATTCTTTAAGCTCTCGCCTTTCTTCACTGCCTTCATACACAAACCAGGTTAGATAACCAATTCATTTTCCTGGGGATCACTGCCGATGCCAATTTCGTCAACCAAATTTTTTACAGTAAACAGAGCACATTCTATCTAATATAAGCAACTAAATGGCTCAACAGGAAGGTCACAAAACCAGATTCACATGCTATGCAACTAGGACAACACCAGAATTATCCCACAGAACTACTTCATTGGAGGTCTTAACTGCTGCAGGTGTTAAACACAAGGACACTGGGCAGTGGACACCGCCACTAGAACCTCCTGCCTCTGAAAGCTGGCAGCCATGCTTGCCTACTTCACATTACTTGCTTCCTAATCCTAGTCTTGCCCTGGTACATGAAGCAAAAGTCACACATCTATGCCAAACTACAAGAGAGGATGGGAAAGCATAGTAATAGCTTCTACTGTGGTGTGGACAATTTCCCCTCAAAGATGGAGTGTGTAAGTGCTGGTAGCCAAAATGCATGACTAGGTCCACAGCGATACCACACTAGCTGCTTACATCCTAAGGCCCCTGTGTACTTTTTCTCAGTTTATTCCCTAAATTGCTCCCTAAGTTCAGTGCTATGGCACTCTCCTAGTTTATGACTAGTAAATACTATTCATAACTCAATCATGTTGCATTCCGTTGTTGTAAGTCCATTCTTACATAATGTGTTTTACCTGATTTTTATTTTTGTTAAGAGACAGGGTCTTGCTCTGTCACCCAGACCAGAGTTCAGTGGTGTGATCATGTGTGATTCTTTACCTGGAATTAATAACCGTCTTTTTTTGCTTGTTTGGTTTTCTGTATATGTATCACTAATTCACCTCTGAACTTCCACTACATGTGTAAGTCTCAACACATCAGGTTATCTACTGGTCGTTTATTTCTTGACAACACCCCTGTGGAGCCCTGTCTTCACTCACCAATCTGGACTAACTGGTCAATCCTTACACAACTATTATCCCACAATTTCTCTTTACTCTAGGAATTCTCTTTACCTTATCCTTTGCTGGATTCTGTATCTGGGCCAAGCTTTCAGGGAGATTAAGCAAATGAGTAACTATATTAAAGATGAGAACCAAGATTCTCACTGTCAGAGACAGGAGCTACAAATAAGGAAAAGTAGAAGGCTAGAATGAAGCCTATGATGTTGGATCAAAATGGTGGCATTTGTGTAATTCATGGTTATAGAGATAGAGGTATATACAGAGAAACAGGTAATAAGTATGTGTAAATATACACACAGATCTATTTACTTGTTCTGCCCACTGAGAAGACTAAAAGCAATGAAAACATGGCAGCAATAAACACAGCTAGTGTCCAGATACTGATTTCTATAATACTATTCTCCACTTCAAAAGAATGACTCCTCCTTAGACAAACAGTTGACTCTAGGAAGAGGCAGGGAAAATATAAAACAAACCCGAAATATTCTGATATACCATAAACAAGCATTTAAAGGATTACAGATGGCCAGGTGCAATAGCTCATGCCTGTAATCCCAGCACTTCAGAAGGCTGAAGCAGGCAGATCACCTGAGATCAGGAGTTCAATATCAGCCTGGCCAATATAGTGAAACCTTGTCTTCACTAAAATTACAAAAAATTAGGTGGGCATGGTGGCAGGATAATTGCTTGGACCAGGAGGCGGAGGTTGCAGTGAGCCGAGATCGTGCCACTGCAATCCAGCCTGGGCAACAGAGTGAGCTTCTGTCGCCAAAAAAACAAACAAACAAACAAACAAACCATACAAAAATTAGCCAAATGTGGTGGCACACACCTGTGATCTCAGCTACTCAGGAGGTGAGGCAGGGGAACCGCCTGAACTCAGGAGGTGGAGGTTGCACTGAGGCGAGATCATGCCACTACACTCCAGCTTTGGCAACAGAGCAGGACTCTGTCTCAAAAAAATAAAAATAAAAATAAAGGATTATAGATATTTGACAAAAGGACACAGGAGTCAGCTTGAAGGAACTCCCACTGGCCAAATCTGGAATAATCTGAGCATGAGATTAAAAATGATAGGTTGACCATGGTGGCACATGCCTGCAATCCCAGCACTTTGGCAGGCTGAGGTGGGAGAAATGCCTGAGTCTAGGAGTTTGAGATCAACCTGGGCAACATAGCAGGATCTCATCACTACTCAAATTTTTTAAAAAATTAGCCTGGGCGCAGTGGCTCATGCCTGTAATCCCAACACTTTGGGAGGCTGAGGCAGGCAGATCACCTGAGGTCTGGAGTTTGAGACCAGCCTGACCAATATGGAGAAACCCCGTCTTTACTAAAAATACAAAATTATCCAGGTGTGGTGCTGCATGCCTGTAATCCCAGCTACTTTAGAGGCTGAAGCAGGAGAATTGCTTGAACCTGGGAGATGGAGGTTGCAGTGAGCTGAGATTGTGCCACTGCACTCCAGCCTGGGCACAAAGAGCAAAATTCCATCTCAAGAGAAAAAAAAAAGAAAAAAGAAAAAAATTAGCTGGGCACAGCGGCAGGTGCCTGCAGTCCCAACTACTTGGGACACTGAGGCAAGAGAATTGCTTGAGCACAAGAGGTGATGGCTGCAGTGAGCTGTTACCACGCCACTGCACTCCAGCCTGGGCAGCAGAGCAAGACCCTTTCTCTAAAAAATAATTATAAACTGACTATACAACCCTTTTTATAAAATGGGGAATTATAAATCCCTACTGATATGAATAAACAAATGGCAGAGAAGTAGGAACCCCAAACTCTAACCCCCATAAAATACTTACTACACATCTACAAATAAGTACAAAAACTAATGTTACAGGAGGCTGGGGGCGGTGGCTCACGTCTATAATCCCAGCACTTTGGGAGGCCAAAGTGGGCAGATCACAAGGTCAGGAGTTTGAGACCAACCTGGCTAACATGGTTAAACCCCGTCTCTACTAAAAACACAAAAATTATCCAACATCTTACTCTTTATTGGAGTGGGTTTCTATTTTCTCAGGATAAATCCTTAAGAAATCTTTATGCTATGAAAAACAAGCTTTATTATTGCATGTATTTTAGAAACTTGTGTACAAACATTCACAGAAACATTATTCATGGTAGCTAAAAAGTGGAAACAGCACAAATGTCCATCAAGTGATGAAGGGATAAATGTAGTACAGCTGTACAATGGAATATTATCAGCCATGAAAAGAAATGAAGGACTGATCCATGCTATGACACAAATGAATCTTCAAAGTACTATGCTAAGTGGAAAAAGCCAGTCACCAAGGACTACATATTACATGACCTAATTTATATGAAATGCCCAGAATAAGCAAATCCAGAGACAGAAAGTAGATTGGTGGCTGCCGAGGGCTAGAGAATTAAGGAAAATGACTGTTAGTGGGTAGAGGGTTTCTTTTAGGAGTGACAAAAATGTTCTAAAACAGATGCAGTAATGGTTGTACAACTCAGTAAATATACTAAAATTCAAAAAATGGTACAGTTTAAAATCAGTGAATTGTATGACCCTCAATAAAGCTGTGATTTTTTTTAAAAAGGAAACAGAAAATAAAACCTTAGGAGAAAAAAATGAAATAACATGTCTGCAACTTATTTTCAAATAAGTTTCAAAATACTTTTTGAAATACTTGTTTCAAAAGTATTATGTATATTATACATATATAGAGAGAGAATAAGTCCATTCTCTTAAATAAGTCCCTCCTCTACTAAAAATAAAAATAAAAATTAGCCAGGTGTGGTAGAGGGCACCTATAATCCCAGCTACTCAGGAGGCTGAGGCAGAGAACTGCTTGAACCCAGGTGGCGGAGGTTGCAGTGACTGTGCCACTGCACTCCAGGCTGGGTGACAGAGTAAGACTCTGTCTCAAAAATAATAATATTTTTGAAAAATAAAATAAACTCCTACATGTCTAAAATGTCTTAGGCCAAGCATGGTAGCTCAGGCCTATAGTCCCAGCACTTTGGGAGGACAAGGTTGGGTGGATCACTTGAGGTCAGGAGTTCAAGAGCATCCTGGCCAACATGGCAAAAACAGTCTCTACTAAAAACACAAAAATTAGCCAGGCATGGTGGCACACATCTGTAGTCCCAGTTATTCAGGAGGCTGAGGCAGGAGAATCGCTTGAACCTGGAAGACAGAGGCTGCAGTAAGCTGAGATCATGCCACTGCACTCCAGCCTGGGAGACAGAGTACAACTCCGTCTTAAAAATAAATAAAATAAATAAATAAAAAATGTTGATACTGGCCGGGCGCGGCGGCTAAAGCCTGTAATCCCAGCACTTTGGGAGGCCGAGGCGGGTGGATCACGAGGTCAAGAGATCAAGACCATCCTGGTCAACATGGTGAAACCCTGTCTCTACTAAAACTACAAAAAAAATTAGCTGGGCATGGTGGCGCATGCCTGTAGTCCCAGCTACTCAGGAGGCTGAGGCAGGAGAATTGCCTGAACCCAGGAGGCGGAGGTTGCGGTGAGCCGAGATCGCGCCATTGCACTCCAGCCTGGGTAACAAGAGCGAAACTCTGTCTCAAAAAAAAAAAAAAAAAAAAAAAAAAAA